TTCTATTGACCGTTACTACGCAGTATGTGACCCACTGCATTATGTCACCAAAATAACTATCCCTGTGATAGTATTATTTTTATTAATTAGCTGGTCTGTCCCATTCTTATTTGCCTTTGGCTTAGTTTTCTTAGAGTTGAATATTGAGGGCATTGAAGAATATGTGACTTCTATTGACTGCAGTGGTTTCTGTGCACTCATATTTAACAAGCTCTGGGGAGTGATGGTTTCTCTTATAGCCTTCTTTTTCCCAGGCACAGTGATGGTGGGGATCTATGTCCACATATATACTGTGGCAAGAAAACATGCAAGACAAATTGCTAAAATCCCCAATGCAATAAAATGTGTCTCTGCGTTGAAAAACAAAATGTCCACAAAAAAAGAGAACAAAGCAACTAAAACTTTAAGTATAGTCATGGGGGTGTTTGTTTTTTGTTGGCTGCCTTTCTTTATTCTTACGATAGCTGATCCTTTTATTAACTTCTCAACACCTGAAGACTTGTACAATGCCTTCCTCTGGCTGGGATACTTCAATTCTACTTGTAATCCAATCATTTATGGTTTATTTTATTCTTGGTTTCGCAAAGCATTTAAAATGATTGTGGCTGGTACAATCTTCAGATCAGATTCCTCTACTCTTACTTTGTTTCCCACAAATACTTAATTAACCAAGTAGGGCTCTTCTGAATGGATTAGTATGAATAAATGCCTATGCTGTTTCTGGAGATCTTTTAGAACAGTTCACATAGTGCCCTACATATTGACAACATTTACAAGAATCTGCACATGCTTTTGGAGTAACTCATTTGTAGCGTGTCTCTATAGGTATTGTTTAAGGATTAGCATGCTATCTTAGTGACCTGTCTGTCTAGAAGTGAGAGAACAGTCTGGGAAATTATACAGTACATTCTGTCCAGCTATGTTCCTATATACACAGTGATCATTTTGACAACTACTCTACAATGTCATTTCTTTCCAAGTCCTGTATCTAAGCACTAATTTGTTATCTAGTTGCCCCTTTTAAAAAATGGACTCCCCAACATTGTGGGCCCACTAACTCCACCCTTACTCCAATTGAGAGTATCTTTCTCTAAGGCCTGGTCTACACTATGAGTTTAGGTCGAATTTAGCAGCGTTAAATCGAATTAAGCCTGCACCCATCCACACAATGAAGCCATTTTTGTTGACATAAAGGGCTCTTAAAATCAATATCTGTACTCCTCCCCGACGAGGGGAGTAGCGCTGAAATCGACATTGCTGGTTCGAATTAGGGTTAGTGTGGATGCAATTCGACGGTATAGGCCTCCGGGAGCTATCCCACAGTGCACCATTGTGACCACTCTGGACAGCAATCTGAACTCGGATGCACTGGCCAGGCAGACAGGAAAAGCCCCGCGAACTTGTGAATTTCATTTCCTGTTTGTCTAATGTGGACAGCTGATCAGCACAGGTGGCCATGCAGAGCTCATCAGCACAGATAACCATGTAATCCCAGAATCAAAAAAGAGCTTCAGCATGGACCATACGGGATATACTGGACCTGATTGCTGGATGGGGTGATGAATCCGTGTTATCAAAACTCCATTCCAAAAGACGGAATGCTAAAACATTTGAAAAAATCTCCAAGGCCATGATGGACAGAGGCCACAACAGGGACTCAACATAGTGCTGCGTGAAACTTAAGGAGCTGAGACAAGCGTACCAGAAAGCCAAAGAATCAAACGGACGCTCCGGGACAGAGCTGCAGACAAGCCGCTTCTACACTGAGCTGCAGGCAATTCTAGGGGGAGCCGCCACCACTACCCCACCCCTGTCCATGGACTCCAATGAAGGGGTATTCTCAGTCGCCATGCCTGAGGATTTTGTGGACGGGGAAGATGAGGAGGAGGAGGACAAGGTTGAGGATAGCACACAGCACACCGTTCTCCCCGACAGCCAGGATCTTTTTCTCACCCTGACTGAAATACCCTCCCAAGGCGGTATCCCAGACCATGAAGCCGTAGAAGGGACCTCTGGTGAGTGTACCTTTGTAAATCTAAAACATGGTTTAAAAGCAAGTGTTTTTTAATGATTAATTTGCCCTGAGGACTTGGGATGCATTCGTGGCCAGTACAGCTACTGGAAAAGTCTGTTAACGTGTCTGGGGATGGAGCAGAAATCCTCCAGGGATATCTTCATGAAGCTCTCCTGGAGATACTCTAAAAGCCTTTGCAGAAGGTTTCTGAGGAAAGCAGCCTTATTCCATCCTCCATGGTAGGACACTTTACCACGCCATGCTAGTAGCAAGTAATCTGGTATCATTGCATGCCTGGCAGCGTATGGTCCCGGTGTTTGCTGGCATTCAAGCAACATCTGTTCTTTATCTCTCTGTGTTATCCTTAGGAGAGTGATATCGTTCATGGTAACCTGGTTGAAATACGGGAATTTAATTAAGGGGACCTTCATAGGTGGCTGTTTCTACTGGGCTGTTTGCCTGTGGGTGAAAAGAAATCCTTCCCGCAGTTAGCAAAGCGGTGGGGGAGGGGGCCATTGGCGCTGAGCTGTTCGCGTTTGGCTAGCAGGGATCTTCCCTGATACCAGCCACGCGGTTGGGGAAGGGTTAAAGCGATCATCGCAGAGAAAAGATGCGGGTGGGGGGTATTAGTTTGGTTTCTGCTGCTGCATGTTAACACGAAAACCGCAGCCCTAAATGGACAACTCAACGGGCTTTGCTTGGTATGGGAAAGGAGGGTGCTGCTGTTATGAAGGTTGCAGAAGCCAAAAGACTATGGTTTACCATGGCCGTCTGCAAGCCCAATTCTGTTGCCCGGCATGTTTGATCTCTAACACCAAAGCCGCAAGCACTCAATATAAGATGCAAAAAATGACCTTGTACCGAAATCACATGTGCTATGTAATGTGAATAGTGTTGTTCACCGTGAAAGAGTATACCCATTGTTCTGTAAAATGTATCTTTTTAAATACTTCTCTACCTTTTTTTCCTCTCACAGCTGGAAATGTTTCAAGCCTCCCTCCTCCGTCCCAAAGGCTATCTCAGATAAGGTGGCCAAAAAAAAGCATGCACGATGAAATGTTCTCTGAGCTCATGCAGGCGTCCCACACTGAAAGAGCTCAGCAGAAAGTGTGGAGGGACACAATAGCACAGGACAAGAAAGCGGCCAGTGAACGTGAGGAGACGTGGTGGCAGGAAGATCAGAGGAGGCAGGATGCAATGCTGGGGCTACTGTTGGAATAAACGGACATGATCCGGCATCTGGTTGAGGTTCAGGAATGTCAGCTGGAGAGACTGCCACTGCAGCCCCTGTTTAACCGCCCTCCCTCCTCCCCAAGTTCCATGCCTCCTCACCCAGACACCCAAGAACGTGGGACGGGGGAGGCTCCGGGCACCCAACACTCCACCCCAGAGGACAGAAGGCTGTCATTCAACAAGTATGGAAGTGGCCTTTTCGTTCCCTCCTCCCCTCCTCCCACACCCCACCCAGGCTACCTTGTGAGTTATCTCCCTATTTTTATAATCAATTAATAAAGAATACATGGTTTTTAAATGATAGTGACTTTATTTCCAAGCTGTGATCAAAGGGGGGAGGGAGGTTGGCTTACAGGGAATTAGAGTCAACCAAGGGGGCGGGTTTTCATCAAGGAGAAACAAATAGAACTGTCACACGGTATCCTGGCCAGTCATGAAACTGGTTTTCAAAGCTTTTCTGATGCGCAGTGCTTCCTGATGTGCTCTTCTAATCGCCCTGGTGTCTGGCTGTGCGTAATTAGCGGCCAGGCAATTTGCCTCAACCTCCCACCCTGCCATAAACGTATCCCCCTTACTCTCACAGAGATTGTGGCGCACACAGCAAGCAGCAATAACAATGGGGATATTGGTTTCGCTGAGGTCTGAGCGAGTCAGTAAACTGCTCCAGCGACCCTTCAAACGTCCAAATGCACATTCTACCACCATTCTGCATTTGCTCAGCCTATAGTTGAACAGCTCCTTACTACTGTCCAGGGTGCCTGTGTATGGCTTCATGAGCCAGGGCATTAAGGAGTAGGCTGGGTCCCCAAGGATAACTATTGGCATTTCAACATCCCCAACAGTTATTTTCTGGTCTGGGAAGTAAATCCCTTCCTGCAGCCATTTAAACAGACCAGAGTTCCTGAAGACGCGAGCATCATGAACCTTTCCTGGTCATCCCACGTTGATGTTGGTGAAATGTCCCTTGTGATCCACCAGTGCTTGCAGCACCATTGAAAAGTACCCCTTGCAGTTTACTGGCTGCCTTGGTGGTCCGGTCCCAAGATAGGGATATGGGTTCCGTCTATCGCCCCATCACATTTAGGGAATCCCATTGCAGCAAAGCCATCTACTATGACTTCCACATTTCCCAGAGTCACTACCTTTGATAGCAGTAGCTCAGTGATTGCGTTGGCTACTTGCATGACAGCAACCCCCACAGTAGATTTGCCCACTTCAAATTGATTCCTGACTGACCGGAAGCTGTCTGGCATTGCAAGTTTCCAGAGGGCTATCGCCACTCACTTGTGAACTGTGAGAGCTGCTCTCATCTTGGTATTCTTGCGGTTCAGGGCAGGGGAAAGCAAGTCACAAAGTTCCATGAAAGTGCCCTTACGCATGCGAAAGTTTCGGAGCCACTGGGAATCATCCCAGACCTGCAACACTATGCGATCCCACCAGTCTGTGCTTGTTTCCCGGGCCCAGAATCAGCGTTCCACGGCATGAACCTGCCCCATTAACACCATGATGTCCACATTGCCCGCACTTTGAGAGAAGTCTGTGTCCATGTCCTCATCACTCTCGTCACCGTGCTGCCGTCACCTCCTGGCCTGGTTTTTCAGCTTCTGGTTCTGCATAAACTGCACGATAATGCATGAGGTGTTTACAATGCTCATAACTGCTGCGGTGAGCTGAACAGGCTCCATGCTTCCCGTGCTATGGCGTCTGCTCGAGCAGCCAAGGGAAAAGGGCCTGAAATGATTGTCTGCCGTTGCTTTCATGGAGGGAGGGTTGACTGACGACATTTACCCATAACCACCCAGGACAAATTTTTGGGAGCATTGGGAGCTCAACCCAGAATTCCAATGGGCAGCGGGGACTGCAGGAATTGTGGGATAGCTACCCCAGTGCACCGCTCGGAATGTCGACACTTGCCACGATACTATGGACACACACCGCCGAATTAATGTGCTTAGTGTGGATGCATGCACTCTACTTTATACAATCTGTTCCCAAAAATCGACTTCTGTAAAATCAGAGTAATTTCATAGTGTAGACATACCCTAATTCTCAGCATGTATAAGGGTAACAGAACTAAGCCCAAAATGTTTTCTCTGACTGAATAACTGATCTTTATCTACATGCAAGCTACACAAGCCAGTCTCATACACACCAATCAATGAGTAATTAAGTCTCTAGCGGGAAAGTGTTCTGAATGTTTGTTGATTCAGTGTTCAGTTTGGGTTGTAGCTGCTGCACTTGAGAAATCACCTCTGTCTCTATGCATTACCAAAGTAACTGAGATCAGCTGAGAACCTTAGCAGTCCCAATGAATATGTTGGAGCTCAGAGGATACCAGGGGATGTTGTGAAAGGCCAAAAGTATAATTGGGTTCATAAAAAGAACTAGATATGTTCTTAGGGGTCTGGATCCATCAATGGCTATTAGCCAGGATGGGCAGGGATGCAACATTCTGCTCTGAGGGTCCCTAGCCTCTGTTTGCCACAAGATGGGAGTGGACAACAGGGGATGGCTCACTTGATGATTATCTGTTCTGTTCATACCCTCTGAAGCACCTGAAATTGGCCACTCTTGGAAGACCAGATACAGAACTAGATGGATTATTGGTCTGACACAGTATGGC